AAATCTTTTTTATTAGACTGCTTTTGCTACCATGATATCTTGATTATGTTACCCATGTGACATGTCCGAGGGCTCCGAAACATGAAATCCGGACCAAAAAAATCAGGCTCCAGCCGCTCTATCCCGATATCGATAACACGAGCGCCATTCATAGTTTGACCTGCAAAACGTATGAGCGACGAGCCGCCTACCAAGACGAAGAAGACGTTTCGCTTCTCCGTGGCCACGGACGTCGATCTCTTGAAGGAGGTGATCAACGTGGCCCCGTACGACGCTCCCTTCGGACAGACGATAGCACGCTGGGAAGAGGTCACCGAGCACATGCGCGAGATTCACGGTGAGCACGTCACGTTTACCGGGTGCCGCAAGCGCTTCGACGACCTCATGGCGGCCTTCAAGAAGGACACCGTCAAGGCGATGCGAGCGTCAGGCACTGAAGAGGAAGTTAGCGAGCGCGACATGCTCCTTCAGGATATTTCCGACCTTGTGAGTCGAGCGCGATGTCTCTTCTGGCTCATAAGTGTGCGTAGACGGAGGCCGTGGCGGACAAGAAAAGGCAGCCAAGGAAGACAAGGTGAAGAAGGTCGACAAGCGCGAGAACGACGGGCACCGCATTCGTGCTGCGGCGCTGGAAGGTCTCAAGCGCAAGACAGCAGGCGGCGACGACCAGGAATCGGACCATGACGACAACGCCGAAACGCCATCGAAGAGGTTCAAGCGCGCCGCCGCAGCGACTAACGACGTAGCGACCGTGGCGAGCGTTGTCAAGGACTTTTCCAGCATGATCGAATCGACCAACAAGCTGAAGGAAGACGAAATTGCCGCCAAGCAAGAGGAAATTGCCGCCAAAAAGGACGTGATTGCCGTGAGGAAGGAAGAGCTCGCGCTCAGTCATCGCAAGCTTAAGCTTGAGGAGCAGAGGTACCTTCTTGACAAGGCTGTGATGATGACGTCGGGCAAGCGAAGCAAGCGCACCAGCTCGATGATCTGTTGCTTTGTAAAGCGGAACTTGTACAGACAATCGGCCTCGCTTTGCGCGGCAAAGTTGAACCGTGTACTTGGAATGGAGATGGCCCGGGAGGTCGCACTACTGGCGAGCTGGACAAGAAGCAAGACGAGAGGAAGCGCAAGCAGTCCGTTGTCCATGGTTCAATCGCTGGTCCAATCGAAAAATTTGAAATATCACGTTTGCAAAAACACTGGACACGCGACTCACTTTTCACGAACCGGCTCTCTCTCCGGATGTCTACCATAATCAAGATTTCTTGGTAGCAAAAGCAGTCTATTTATTCAACATCTATCTTATCGTACCACTACAGTACCCACCTCCTGCGACTTGCCTACTATCTTCGCGGGAAACCACTTATCTTACTACACTTCAACCCTGCGACCAATCATACCGCTATTTTTCTTACTTTGGCTCGGAGCGCGCTGCAGCGTCTTGTGAATCGACCCTGATCTTTTGCAACGCCTCGCTCCCAGAGTACTATGTACCGGTAGTACATATTTTCCCTCGACCGCGCAATATTTGACGTCGACTGCATTTGGGACTGCATTTCTTTGTCGTCACGGCGTAACTGGGCATAACCGGATGCATGTTCGCGACGCCTGGCGCAGCGTCCACTGTCGGTTGGTGTAGCATGGGGTTGTTAAAATACACTTTGATATTGGCATTTTGAAACACCCGTCTGATGCCGCCTCGAGCCCCGACACGGCATCTGGCCCTCTTTGCCAACTTCGCCGAGTTCGAGGACTATCGCTATCTGCTTCCTACCATGGCCGTTGTCAACGGGAGCCCCAAGCGAGGCATAGTCTGTAAGATTGACCATGGCGACTTGGACGACCAGGACGACGGGGAAGGCGGCGACCAGGCCGCGATGGCGGCGCGTAGAGAGCTCGTCCGCACGCTTAGAGGCAAGCACCACATGCAACGCCGCTACTTCAGATGCCGCTCTTTGAGATGCCATCAAAGTCGCCCACCGGGTGTACCATGCAAGTGGACGTACACCGTGATGGTGTGCTCAGTGTCAGGTCAAGTGTCGTTGGGTCAAATCAAGAGCCACTTTTTCGCCGAGGACGACCTCGTGATTCCACGGTCTCCGCGTGAGTTCCAGGTACGACAACGCGGCTGAACATGACATGAACCTATCTTTTATTACAATTTTAGTTTGCCGAGCAAGTTGAGGCTTGGCTGACAGATCAGGTCATTAACTCGGCACGCCGCAATGCACTCGAGCTCCAGAAGATGCTTGTGACCAAGTTCAACCAGGCTTATGACCTCAAGGATATCCAGCGCGTTTTGCGCCGTATTCGCGACACGTACCTGGAATCCTTCGATGATCACGCCGCAGACATTGGTTAGAGTCGGCCCACCTCATCGTCTACAACCGGCCGTGCCAGTTGACGACGAAGTGCCTCGTGGTCACAACCGCCCACTTCCGGCGCAGTCTTTCCCTGTGCTTCCACCTGCGTTGCTACTGCCGCCGCATCCAATATCCCAGATTGTGGACGATGACCATCATCAAGAGCAGATTCAGGTTTGCACGCAACACAACGTGCCATGATTTGTACGGTATTAGGACGACATTGACAATGGAATCAACTACGATGCGAACGACATGGTCGTGTATCAGGCACGGCGCGCGCTCGACCTCGACGGACACCCACCCGTACCTGACGCCTTGGTACCCATGGCACTTGAGCCACATGTGCGTGACGTCGTCGCTGCACTGCGCGAGCCGATGCTTCCGCTCGGAGACGCGGACCACGATCTTCGACTTGGCAACGCCCACGATCTCCCACTTGGTGCCGCGAACCGCGTTCTCAGGCTTGGCAACACGGACCTTGACCTCGTCCCAAAAGACGACTTTGCTGGTCACCGAGCGTCGCCGCGTCGCAGCATGCGGCAACCTGCGGCAAAACCTCTCAACGTCGTCCCTCGCGCTGACCATCAAGCTGTCGTAATCCCACCAGGGCGCGGTAGTGACTTGTATCGTTGCATCGAAGCAGATCACGGTGCCCGCCTGGCTGTCAGCCCGGAACGGGGCTTCATCAGACTCACCGATCCTGCTGTCAGCCCGGAACGGGGCTTCATCAGACTCACCGATCCTGCAGTTGTGCGCCAGCTCAACGACGACCGCCCAGGCCGAGCGGGCCATCGGGACGCACCTCGCACCAACGTCGTTGACATATGGAGGTCATCGAGATCAGTACCTGGGCAAGTGCGCGTCGAAATCAACGACGCTGCCGCACGGACGGAGGTGCAACATGCCGTCGAGACCGAGCGAATTGCGGCGTCTATAGGCAGGCGCGGGTTTGTACGTGGCTTTGAAGGCACCAGCCTGAACATGCGCAAGCGCCGTGCACAGAGCCGCATCGACGCCCTCGTGCGTGGTCGCAGCAGGTTGGGGGTGGCATTTGACGTCGTGCATCGGACGTGATTGTGAGAACCAACTAAATACATGAAACTATACATTTGTGAATCATACATACCGGTATGTACTTTGTCGAATACTATTGCAGACACCGAAATGGTAAATAATACTGGTAGACCTCTACTAGTAGTGTGCACTTCCGTCAGTACTCTGGGAGCGAGGCGTTGCAAAAGATCAGGGTCGATTCACAAGACGCTGCAGCGCGCTCCGAGCCAAAGTAAGAAAAATAGCGGTATGATTGGTCGCAGGGTTGAAGTGTAGTAAGATAAGTGGTTTCCCGCGAAGATAGTAGGCAAGTCGCAGGAGGTGGGTACTGTAGTGGTACGATAAGATAGATGTTGAATAAATAGACTGCTTTCGAGTTTCTCTTCGAAGTACACCAGTACCTGTAGTTAAGGACCATCGCCATTCAGGGTCGTGATCCTCCCACTACCAAGAGCGAGTGTTTTTCCCTGCTCTGTTATCCAGCCTGAGGCGTTACACACTTCCTTAGAAACCTCGGACAGCGACCCTTCCGGATACTGCCCAATGTTTACTCCTGGTTTGGGATGGGCAACCCCTCCACATGGCGTGGATAGATCCCTGACTACAGTGACAT